AAAAGGCCAGCTCCCTCTGCCTCTGTACTTTCTCTGTCACTGAGCCCATCCTTCCCGCCACGTGCCAGGAGTTTACTGGGCACAGACTACAGATGTGATTGACATGGGCTGATGTCACACCTCCTGCTGCTTGAGTCTTAAGACAAAAATGGAGTAAAGTAACATGACCAGAGAGAAAATACCAAAAGCTACATACAGGAGAGGAGATGGGAACACTAGCGTGAGGGACACTACTCACCTAGGTGCAGAGGTAGGTGTCTCTGAAAAATAAAGAATGGGTAAAGTTGGATAGCAGGGGTCCAAAGAGGAGAGAAGGTATTCACAAAGGTAAGAATGGAATCAAAATATGTTTTCAGAATTGCCATACCCACCTTTGTTGTCATAGCTCTCATTATTCTTTTAAAATCCCTCCTTTCCTCTCTCCTTTCCCTTCTTCGGCTCACACTGGGGACCACCTGAGTCTGGGTCTTGTGTATTTTAGGTATAGTTTCTAACCATGAACTATGTAGACATCAAAGGACAACTTGCAGGAGTTTGGTTGTTTCCCTCCACCAGCTGCGTCCTAGGGATTGAACTCAGGTCATTAGGTTTGGCAGCAATCTCCTTTACTGTCTGAGCCAGCTTGTGAGTCCTGGCTTTGTCTTTTGAAATGGGGCCTTGCTGTGATTCATAGGCTTATATCAAACTACTCATGATCCTCTTGCTTCAGCCTTCCCAGCAGTGGGATTATAGACATTAGTTTTCTTAATGTTGGATTATGGATATGTTCTCGATCACACCCAGCTCTTGCTAGCTATTTTATTTATTTATTTATTTCATGTATATATGTGTGATATATGTTCTCATATATGTGTGCTTGCATGTCTGTTTATATGCATGAGCACACAAGAGACACTTGCAAGTATGTGCTGTGTATAGTCTAGAGGTTGGCACAGTTTATCTACTTTGATGGGTCTCTACCTTATATTGAGACAGGTGTCTCACTTGAAACCAGAGACTGACAAATGGCGTGTCTAGCTATTCAGCTTTCTCTGTGAGTCTCCTGTCTATGCTGCCCGAGATTATAGGTAGTCTGCCCTGCCTGCCTGGTATTTATGTGGGTGCTGGGGATCTGAACTCCTGTCCTCACACTTGTGTAGTAAGAATTCTTACATTGAGCCATTCCCCAAGCCTTTCTACTCCATCTGGATAAAGCCATGCTGCCTGTTATTGCTATGATTCTACCCCAGCTCTAGCTTAGATCCCGTATTAGGACAGAAGGATGGGGTAGCATTTGCCTAGGGCATACAAAAGCCTATGGTTGATAAACTAAGAGCCATAAACAAGAAAAAACACTGACAGTAGGTTTATGACATGTGTGTGCATGTGTGTGGGCACATGCATGTGTGTGTATGCTGTGTGTGCACATGTAAGCATGAGCTAATGTGGAGATCGGAGGACTACTTGCAGGAGTTGACTCTTTCCTTCTACTGTATGGCTTCTGGAAATTGAACTCAGGTCACTAGGCTTGACTACAAGCACCTTCACCTGCTGCACCATCTCCATGGCTCCATGCGTGTTGATTTTTGTAGTGCTGTCTAGCATCAAAGAAAGGCCATGGTTAGGGCAGAGGGGCTAGAATATTACCTCCCCTCTATCCAGTCCTCAAGGAATAGAGGATAGAGCAGTGTCATGTTTAGGGCAGAGGGGCTAGACTACTGCCTTCCTCATCTGTAGCTCTGCAGGGATGGAGGAAGTAGAGGCTCATTTTCAACCCAGATCTGTTTTTGAAGTTAGAAGAAACACCCCACTCATATTGCACAATTCAGCTCTGACTCGTGCTTTGGGTGAACTTGCCATATGACTGTTCCTGTCTCACATTTTCATAGAGGTTTGGAAGGCAGAGAATGGTCAGGACTGGAGGGTCTCTTTGACCAGGAAAAAAACAAATAAAAAACAAATATTCTAAAAACCATGCAGTAACTTACTGCAATACCAGAACCCTGGTACAGGACTCCATTGTTGCCTGAACACAGTATTTTATTTCTGTGGGGATTTCACAGCTATTAACGTATCAGATCTCATCTGGTATTATAACTGTTTAGAGAGGTGGGTAAGAATTAAAATCTTTATTTGATAGGAGAGAAAAACTGAAGCTCCAGGGAAGACATTTAGCCCAGTTCCCATAGCTAAAAAGTTGGACCTTTGACTCAAGATTCAGTGTGCTTTCTTTCCACTGTGCCCTGTGCTTATGCAGCCCACAGTCTCCCAGGGTGCTGATTATCCACCTGAGAATGGCTAGGAATGTAGATAATGACTAGAGAGGAGGGCATTCAAGGAGTAAATTAACCGTGTTTGAGCATTCTTGCCAGTTTTATAGCATTGAAATTACAAATCCAAATTAAAATGAGCAAGTAGCTGGTCCTGCCCTACTAATCCTTCCATGCAAATTGCCACCTGAAGCTCAAGCCAGCAGTTCACAAGAGCAAACTGCTTCTCCATCTTCCATATAACACTTAGAAGACATCTGTCTTTGTTTTTTCCAGAGATGCTAACTCATAGAAGACTGTTCTCATCAAATATAGGTTGAAAAACAACCAGTAATTAAATCACGTGCAGGATGCTCTAACTATAGGCCATTCCCTTAGTTTTCTACTGGGAGTCAAAGGGGGCAGAAGTGCTGAGGACCCCTGAGTGGTCTAATATCCTGTAAGGTAGATGATTCTGAGTAGGTAGGACTGGTCTTGATGGGTAGTGGGAGGTGGCAATGGTTCAGTGGCTTTTTGGGGCCAGCTAAGTGGTTCGGAAATGGTATTAAATTGGATAATAGAAAGACAACATCTGACAAGGACACGGAAGCAAAAGTGGCTGGTTGGGGGGCTGCAGAACCTGAGCGGAAGGTCTCAGAAATTCTCCTATAGGATGAAGTAGAGCAGTAGAATGATGGATTTACGGAGGTGAAGAAACTGAAGAAACGTTGGCCCTTCTTTCATTTTTCTGTGTTCTAATAGAGGCGAGGTGACATAGAAACAGTTGAATTCTGGGCTCATGGTTATGGAGACTGGGAAGTCCATGAATATGATGCTGGTGTCTGCTCAGCTTCTCTGAGAGCCTTAGGCTGCTTCAGCTCACGTGGAAAGCAGGACTAGCCCATGCTTGGGGAAGAGCACAAAAAGAAGGCTGGCATTACGTTTTGAGGACTGACTTAAGCTAAAGCTCTACCAACTGCTCTTGGGAGAACAAACTGCCTCCACTGAGAAGGCACAACTCCCTCTCAGTGGTATAATTGACTCTTAAAGGCACCCAGCGCCTGACACCATCACAATGGCATACATTTTAACCTGGGGACAAACCCAGATCATATCATGACAGGTTTTGGTAGATTGTCGATGGAGGCCTTGGTTGGAGGAAGGAGAGAGACTAAGCTAACTAAAAGGAACTTGAGTGACAGGTGGACAAGAGACAGAACCAAGCTACTGGCTTGTTGAAGAGGCTTCAGCAGTAGCTTTGCTCTGCCTTCAGTCATCTCAGTAACCAGGACCTGAGTCTAGAGAGACATAGGGTGAAATACAGCAAATACTTAGCTGCTCTCACCATAGGGAAAAAAAACGTAAAAGCTGTTCTAGAAAACCTGGCTCTTGGAGCTGATTTTAAGGTGCATTGAAAGTGCATTCCTTCCTCTCCTTGGGCGCCTGCCTTCTCCTGTATAGGCACAATCTTTACAGCCTTTACAACTGGCAGTGTTGGCTGAAGGGACTGGGGAATACTCATCTTGCCACACTGAGAGTGGCTCAGTGCTGGGACAACTTGAGGGAATCAAAGCAAGAAATCATGGTGGGCCCCTGGGCCATGCCTAGGTATCCGTGTGTGCGGGGTCATACTGCATAACTGTGTAATGGTCCAGGTGGGGCAAGTTCCTGGCGAGGTGCAGCCTAGGTGTCACTGCTTCTGTGCCGGGTGTTTGTCTGCTATGCTCTGCTGGACGCAGGGGCAGTTTAGTTTGATCAAGGGTAGTTTGAGCTGCGGCCACTTCAAGTACATTTCTGTGCCATAGTTGAAACCATGTAAGTTTCACAACTGGACAGGTTCATCTTGACTCTTGTCGGTGGTGTGTACGCAGGGCTAATTCTGTGGTTTGCTGCTCGCCATTGGAGGTGGGCATGAAGCCAAGGCCCAGGAAGGTGGTCGAGTGGCTGTACAAGGGGCGGAGATTGGCGGCGATTTCGGGCGACTAGGGTACCCCAGGAATCCGTGGAGTAGCTAACTCATTCCGGGGGAAATGGAGCACGGCGCCCACACAATTCTTCATTGCGGCAGGGAGGGCGAGGTGTGCGCGCCTGGGACCTGCGGGCGCTCTCTGCCTTGACTTCCCCATCCCAGGGGGCGGGGCTGCAGTCGCGGCGAGCGAAGAAAGTGCGCGAAGGGGACGCGCT